TTTTTAGAACGACGTAAGCCCAGGATATTAGTCACGGGTACGGAGATAATTTGAACGATAACAGTAATACAGGCGGGCCTTGTTCAGCATTCAACCCATGTTACAATGACGCGATCCTCCAAGATCCCCGGGCGAGGTCGCACTGTTTACACTAAATTACTGGGGAAAGCCTATCACGCCGCTTATCGCGAATTCGCGATGTGCAATACTGTGCCGGACTGAACCAGCACGTGTTGTTACTATATGGTCAGAATCGAAATAATACAATTCTAAATAAATAATGGAAGTTGAAATTGAATTCAAGAAAAATACCAAGTTCATTGATTGTTTACAATTGCAATACTATTGTCTCAGAGTCGTCAAGGATGTATTGCATTGTTTTTTCTCTCTCGGCAATTCTATAATAGACGATATTACAATACAGATAGTTACCGTTCTAGTTTATAGTGATTTACTTGACAAAATGGCAGAGAACGCTGACCACTACCGGATTTCCGTTATGTTTCTCAATAATGACTACTTAAGTAACTGACAAAGAATGACCGCGCTCATTTTCCTCCAAAAGATCGTTGTGGTGTGTCATCTGGCGATAAGAACGTAAACATGAAATTAGTTCGTTATACGGGAGAAATCTGGGAGAAAGAGTTTCAAATAAAAATTCCAATCAGCACAGCAATAAGGACGTTTTGCCCGAAGTGTTTATTGGCAAGCAGTGTTTGAGTTATGTTTCAACTGCGGTACGAGCTGTTCCAAAACCGGAGCACAGGAAATGCATAACGTAGCGCCAGACATATTATAGGCACTCGCAGCCGCACGCTACGTTTCCGATGTATCGAGTTAGTTGCGATATCGTAAATTCAATTTGCTCAACACTGCATTGTTGTAGATTTTAAAATACGTAAGCTATTTAAGCCAACACTAATAACAATACTAAGGATACTATGGACGCAGATTTAAGAAAAAATCTGTTTTACTAGGCCAACGTTTAAAAGGTAAAGCGAAATGACTTTTAAGTCAGGCGACGACTACGGTGATAGCCTCTCGATATCAATAAATCTGAATAGGATAATTTGGCATAAAGTCCCAGCAACCTCAAACAGTTAGGCTAGTGGAGGCTTTACTTGGAAATATGCCAAGAACATTAACACAAATAATGTGGTAGACTTGAGTCTGGCTGTGCACGAATTCGATAGTAAAAGCTACGCAAAACAACATGGTCTGCGTCGATACGAAAAACAATTAATTAATTACACACAATGACATTACGATGGATATACGTACAGAATAAACTACATTGTAATCATTTTAAGATTTCTGCCAATATGCTAATTTGCATATATGAACTCAACATTACTTTTTCACACATCGGTATTTTTACTCTATTATGTTTTTACTCTATTTATTATTATGGAGTATTTTATTATAAGTCTAACTGGTGTAAAGCCTGTAACTGAAAAATTGCATATCATATGAAATGTTCAGCCAGACGCCATTATGACGAATGTGAAAAGGGCACAGCGATCCCATTGGATCAAATCATATTTGTAATATTACTTATAAATATTCTTAGATACTTTACTTACTCCTAGATTCGCTTTCATACTGGTTTTTATTAATAAATTCCGATTTTCTCGTAATCGTCAATTCTATGAAAAAATTGCACTTGTTGATTAGAAAAAAAATATCTCTTTTTTCGCTATTCCTGTTATTCTGTCTAGCTTCCAATATACCAGTTAATCGTCGAACATTTATGTCCTCGTTAATTGATTAAGTCGATTGGTTTTTCTACATGTACGTCGGATATTCAAAAGAATCCGACACCATGTGAGACAGATACTAAAAATAGAAACGACGCATAACTGATGTAAATCGGCTTGTTGCAAATGCACATGACGTGAACGTTTCTCGTTCACATGAATAGAGCCTTACTACGTCTACGGATTTCAGTGATTTGTGACGGATTATCGGAATAATATGCTACCGCCATTATGGTGTACGACTGTAAAGAGTTTTAAAACTCCTTTAAAAATAAATAAAGTAGGCAGTACATTTGTTTTAATCCTCTTGAGACTTCTGTCAATGTAATACAATAATAAAATAAAATCAAACCATTCCAATAATATGTTATTAGATTACAACTTTCGTAGCCTTCAGAAATGCGACTTATGGCATTCGAAATCCACATTAATTTCAAGGACTAAGACTTCAAACGTGAGGAAGGTAATTGTTAATTAGTAAGTTCGCAACTGTGTTATGTGTACGATCAGAGACGCGAATGCTATGATTGATGATGCAAATCTGACGGTTGTGTTGTGTATGAGTCAAGTCTTGTGAAGGTCGCAAGCCGAATACCGCCCTCGTCAGCTGATAACACCGCCAGCTAACGTATTTAACTGATCAGTGAAGTGCCATACCTACTTGTTACGTTCTGCGAATTTGAGTAACACTTCTACTTATAACACCAATATTTCTGTACAATAACTGATTGTTAAGCGTGGCAAGCAACATAAAATAATCTTTTAATGCACGCAATGTGGATGTCATGGCAACACAACACAAGCAGAAGGCAAAAACTAGTCGACTGCTCGTTTCAAAAAAAAGACCGATTACTTCGATATTCGTCTTCCTCGTGTCCCGAGTACTGAAAATTCGATCAAGCCTCGTAGCCGTTTTTGCGGCAACGTTGAACATTATAATCGAAAAAACTACGGCAAAATATAAATGTAGTTAACAGCCGTATCAGTTTCGAATATAAATAAAGTTTGATAACACAATGACGACACGGGTTTTATTAAGCGACACCATTGTGAATACAATTTGAATATCGAATGCTCGTGAGAATATTTCTAAAACGGGAGATGTCGTCTTTATCGGGAAGAAAGGTTTCACGTGTCGGCTTTATAGTAGTGCATTGGCCGTACTTAAAAGCAAGAGCTTTGCGGGACGTACTTTATATCGACAGTAGAACAAATATTTGTTTGTTATTCCTTATTTACGGCACTCGAAGCAGGCTTTTCTGTCGACAGCGAACCGGAGCCGAACTTGAAAGCTTAGTTGGATCGATAGGAATTGCACGCCAATGATTCTTAGTTGACGAATATTTTATAAGTTTGTAATAAGTAAAATGTTGAACATGTTTCAAAATCTGCTGAACAATTTTTATAGGAAGATATATTATATAGATATAGGACATAAAATGGTCGTGAGATTGAATAGTTTTTAGGTATACTGTCGTATTCTGATTCTAGGATAATCTAGTACCAATATAAAAGTACTACTACTACTACAATACTCACTAAATTAAGATTAGAATTATTTAATTCTAACTTATGATAAGTATCAAAATCTTACTCCATGGGTTTGTCTATGAAACTTACTAACAACAGAGAGTTTAATAATTGAATAAAAAAAAGGAATATTTATTATAGTGTTATGTTAAGAAAACAGAACTCATTTAAGACCAATTAGATTCAATTTGGATTCAATAACTATGTGAGTATTTTGATGATTCAATTTAGAAAACATTGAAAAATAATACAAAAAAATTTGTTAAGTATTAATATGATGTAGATAAAACGTTTTGGTAAGCAATTTATATAAATCATGATGAGGTCATTTACATACATAGTAGATGCATATATAATAATTTAATAATAAAGCATAATTTGTATCATGCATATATTTTACAGGAAACTATGTATATAAGTTACATTAATATGTATATTATAATCTATTAAATAATATGGAATAAGAATTATAAAGGGAAAATGGTCATCCCAATTTCCGAATACAGGTGTAGAAAATATGTACAAATAAAATAATGTATCTATATTTTTATTGAAGTACTTCATTCTTCTACTACAGAATTGATGAAGCACTTAATCACAAAAATAAATATTTTGATGTTTAATTAGAACACTACTAAAGTATTATTAACAAGTAACAATTAAAAGAAATTGTTTTAGTTTTAGAACAATTGAGTGAGTAAGTTATTTGTTAATTAGGTGGGCAAAGGTTTCTTCAAACCTATGTCCAGAGAAGGATGGAATCCGGCTAATGATTTTGATGCTGAATTGAGTGACATTAAATTATAATCTACTAATAAATAGCACCATTAGTCATTCAGCCTCTTATACGTATTAATAGGGCCATATTGATAATATGATTCTAACAAGGTTTATTGGGCATGATAATTATTTAAAATGAGACACACTAACAAATAAATAGGCACTAGAATAGTGATGAGTATGTGTGGGAGGTTTTGGAAATATATTTTTATCTGCTCCTTTGGATACCTATAGTTCTAAAATTGGTTTTTAAATCTAATTCACAGTAGGATAGGGATGGGACAATTAAATTTTGTTATTTATTCATGACCTGAACTTCTAAATACAATATAGGGAGATGATCTGTGTATGTAGTTTGATAGTAAAGTAGAAAGAACATCATCATCACCACCGGATTAACACAACTGTTCCTCATTGTGGAATGGGTAAAAGGAAATTATAAATTTTTATTTAATAACTTGATATAACACAAGTATAGCAACATTACAAACTAAATAAAAGAGCCAAATGAGTAGCATTATTGGTGCTATCTAGCCAAAAAGTGTTTCATAAAGTTGAGTGGGCAGATAGCCTCTCCAATGAGGTTATCCAACTACCTATGAAGTTGCTTACTAAATTATTGATCAAAAAACAATGGAAATGCAGATAAAGTAGGTAGTTGGTAAAATTGCGGAACGCAACAAATTGTCTCGCTTCAATGACAGCTATCATTCAGCGGTGTCAAGTCCGGGGTGGGGCGACAAGAATTAAGAACACCATTGGAAGTAGGTTCCTCGAAAGTGACTCCTTAGGTCTGTGAGAACCATGGCCCCAGCCATAACTCTGATTGACTGATATCAAAAACGATTTTAATGCTGTTTCTTGATGAATTCGAGGTCATCAGTAAAGCCTTTGGTTATACCAACGTTGAGAAACTAAGGAAAACTAACTTACCGCTTGGAGCGCCGCTAACCTATCCTTCGTCATCCTTTACAGAGAATCACACACCAAGTAAACGTTTTATCTCGTTACACAATCCCATTCACAGATATTTTTCTAACAAACGTCACTAAACTAAAGGACACGAACACTACGTTCACTTCACTCAAAAAATCGATACACACGAAACGAACAAAACTTCACTACCTGTCTCATCTACTGTGTGAAATTTAGCAAAGTTGTAGATGGCGCAACTATTCGTTACAGTGTGTGACGTCAAGAGAAGTGTCGGTAAAGCAGCAAAGGCGCTAATAATCATTAAAATACTTTTTAAATAAGCAAAGTTTAAATGAAACTAAAACCATATTCAAATTTCATTCTAAAAATGTAAAATAAAATAAAAATACATAATATGATATTAATATCTAATTTTTAAATACTGTTAAAGATTTTTGTTCAATTTTAAAACCTACATTTGACTTCCAGACTCATTGCGCCAGTCGTTGTCAAAGAAATCTTCCGCTTAGTCAAGTGACGCCATTGTGAGCCGTAACGACTTTAAGCTGCAACGAGTTTAATCTCGATTTTCTTTAACAATCTTGGTAATAAGTGTTTAGATTTTATCTAATTTCATTCTATACTTCAAATACTTGTTATTTTAGTATATATTTACGTTTTTCGTTGTGTAGTTCTAGTGTAATTTGTGTTAATGTTCGGTACTATAGAGCTAAATTCCTGTGAGCCCAGTTGAGCGCCATTCGGTGAAAAGTTAAAGCAAATTTAAGTTGTCAATTTCAAAGGTTCAGTGAGTTTTATATTTTCCCCGCAAAGTGTAATTTACTGGTTTCTTTTACGACATTCAAAAGATCCGAGAAACGTCAAGGAATCGACTTGTTTGCGCCAAACGGTTGTAGATCTAACGTCATACAGACTTGGGTCATTTTTTGCTAATCTTAAACTTTTTCATTACTTTTCAGAATTAAAGTAAAAATCCATAAAAATGGCAGATGATATGCCCACATTCAAATGCGTGCTGGTTGGTGATGGTGGTACCGGCAAAACAACATTCGTCAAAAGACATTTGACTGGAGAGTTCGAGAAAAAATACGTTGCAACACTCGGTGTCGAAGTGCACCCCTTGGTCTTCCACACAAATCGTGGTCCTATCAGATTTAACGTATGGGATACAGCTGGCCAAGAGAAATTTGGAGGATTAAGAGATGGCTACTATATTCAAGGCCAATGTGCCATCATCATGTTCGACGTAACCTCCCGTGTCACTTACAAAAACGTACCAAATTGGCATAGAGACTTAGTTCGAGTATGTGAAGGCATTCCTATTGTTTTGTGTGGTAACAAAGTAGATATCAAGGACAGGAAAGTCAAAGCAAAAACAATTGTTTTCCACCGGAAAAAGAACTTACAGGTAAGGCCTTTACCATAGCTCAAACACTATTAATTTAGTTTTAAAAAATGTTATAAATCTAATTGTTTTTGTTTTTTGTTCCAGTACTATGACATCTCTGCAAAGTCTAACTACAACTTCGAAAAGCCCTTCCTGTGGTTAGCAAGGAAACTGATTGGTGATGGCAACTTGGAGTTTGTTGCGATGCCTGCTCTCTTGCCTCCAGAAGTCACAATGGACCCACAATGGCAGAACCAAATCGAAAAGGATCTCAAAGAAGCCCAAGACACTGCGCTGCCGGAGGAAGATGAAGACTTGTAAATACAGCAATAAATAGCTAATGCTAAATTTCAGTGCTATACTACGTTGATTGTGCAATTTTGTACACCAATGTATCAATTTAAATTTCATTCCATAATTTCAAGTGCTCCATGAGTTTGTATTAAATTCATTGCTAACTTATTGTCATAATTTCTAGTTTTGCTTTAATTAATAGTATGTGAAAGAAAATTAAGTCATCTTAATGGCACTTGGAGTAAGTAATATAACGTCATGTAACTTTGTATTTGTATTCTTTTACCCATTGAGTTGGGCCTATTTTATTTATTAATTGTGTATAGGTCACTCATGTATATCCTACACACTAAGCCTCCCTGATGGTACATTTACTATAGTTACTGCTTAACTGTTACAGTAGCATGTACATAACCAGTGCGTAAGTTTTGTTTTGTACACGACTGACAATATGACATTGTAAATTGTGGTGATAAATTTTTGAAATAAAGTTCAAAAAAATACTTGGTTGTTTTATTTAGTAATTTTCTATAATTTACCTACAGAATTTAAAAATCTATTAGCTTGTGTTGAAAGCCCCGGTTGTTTTCAAAATTAAGCAAGAGTTTTGCGTTAGAGAGGGGCCGGGCGTTTGCCTTTTTATTTACATCAATTATATTGTAGTCTGATTTACATGACTGTTAGAGAACTATTTGTTAGCTAATGGATACCTACGCAAAAATAAGTAGGTACTTAGAATCAGCATAAAACAGTAGTTAGTAGCTGCCACAATTATTTCTGGCACTGATAATTTATATTAGATAGGTACTACTATCTAACAAATTTCGTGATCTTTCTTTGGGTAACATAGCTAACAATTTGTGATTAAGATGTATGGTCTGTAGGCATTTCTTACGATTGCGACATGGGGTGGGTTCCTATACCTACATGCTTTATATGTAGCCAAGGACTACTGTCTATAATACAGCCATTACACAGTGTTGGCTGGCGTGGATGAAAATACTTCGCGAAAGCCCGGTCACTCTTACTAGCGATAGCGAAAAGCGGATAATACATTTGAGTGTACTTATACCACGGAGTAAAAACAAAGTTGTATACACTGTTTACTGTAGGTACACCTGTGCCTAGTAACCACTTTTTTCGTATTCTCTGCTCTCCGGGGAACAAAAAAGGAGTGATGTTGTTGACATATTTAGGTACCTACTGCTAAAAACTAACGATTAGAAAAGCTATAGCCATATTGCCTCTGCTGTAAAATCCTATTTTGCAAGTCTGTATCTTTAGTCACAGGAAAATCATGTTTTAATTTTAAAGCCTAGAAATGTGTGCAGAAGTTTGCTGTTATCATCATCACACTACAATGCCTTTGGTATATATTGAAAACGACTCGTGAAGGAAGCGAAAATGGGCGCGCGTTGCAGAGACGCTCGCTGCTCATGAATAACTACTAAAGCTTTTCTCAGAACATTCACGTTAGTCGTTATTTTCCATAAATTTAATAAGTCTACGAAAGTTAGGTACTATTCAAAGAGAGTTTGTAATGATTGAAATATAACAACTGTTAGGGCTGGAGTAGGTGTTCTAAATTAATAGTTTAAATAAAAAGTTGCCTTTTTGTGTATTTTATTGAACTTTACATTGGTAAATGCATACAATATTAATTGAACTACACATCTAAGCTTAACATTTTAACTGTAACAGTATTTATTTACTTTTTGGAGGCCGCCTTTTCCCGGGCCTTCTTGCCTTCCAAGAGTTTTAGTCTGTCCTCCTCAGACAAATTGTTGTTGATTTTAGTAATAACACCAGTACCGAGCGTCAGATCACCCAATCGAAGAGTAAATCTTTGTCCAGGTTCGCACACCATAGGTTTCAGAAGACGAAGTCGTAACCTGAAAGGAAATTAAATTGCAATTTATACTTTTTATAAAAGTAAAATAAGAAAATATTGGGCCACAAATATTACTAAACACTTACGAAGCATCTTCACCAGGCATCACCATCTCTTTATCAGGAATTACTACTTGTGTTGCACAATCCCATGTCATAGAGAACATTTGTAACTGAATGAAAGATGTGAAGGGTTTTGATCGACCACCCTCTTCCTTGCTCAAAATGTACACTGCAGCTTCAACATTGTCATGAGCTTTAACAGTACCAGGCTTCGCCATGACCATTCCACGCTTGATTTGTTCTCGTTTTATAGATCGGACCAGGGCTCCAAGCTGATCACCAGCTTGAGCCTCATCTAATGTCTTATGGAACATCTCAACACCGGTGACAGTTGTTTTCATAACTTTGCCATGACCAACAATTTCACATTCTGTACCTTTCTTAAGTACACCTGTTAAAAAAACAACATTTTTTTATTTTAGTGTTTCAGAATAATCAGGACCACTATTTGGTTTCTGTGCATTCAATAAATACCAACCTCGGTGCAGGCGTCCAGTGACTACAGTACCACGTCCAGGAATTGAATGTACGGACTCAACTGGCAAGAGGAAGGGTTTGTCTAATTCACGAATTGGTGTTGGGATAAAAGCATCAACTTCTTTCAAAAGCTGTGTAATAGCATCTGAACCAATTTCAGGGCTCTTTCCCTCCAATGCACATAATGCTGATCCTGTGAAAATTTAAAATTCATGTTAGTAAAAAGTGTGTGACTTTTTGTAAATACTAGTTAGACATAATTGCAATTTACCTTTAATTACAGGTACTTTATCACCATCATAACCCATCTCAGACATTAACTCTCTGATTTCCATTTCCACAAGTTCTACCATTTCTTCATCAGCAGCATCTACTTTGTTGATAAATACTACTACATGCTGGATACCAATTTGCTTGGCAAGAAGCAAGTGCTCTCTTGTCTGTGGCATCACTCCATCAGTGGCAGCTACCACAAGTATGGCACCATCCATTTGAGCTGTGCCAGTGATCATGTTCTGAAATTGAGAATAAGACACCTCTTAAGGAAAATGGAATTTTTAGTTATGGAAGTTCTCTTAATATGAATAATTATTATAAACAAAAAATTCTAAATGTAAGAGATTCCATTTAATGTTTACCTTAATGTAGTCAGCATGCCCAGGACAGTCAGTATGTCCATAATGTCTGGATTCTGTCTGATACTCAACATGAGCAACGTTGATAGTGATACCACGAGCTTTCTCTTCCGGAGCATTATCAATATCTGCATAGCCTTTCTTTTGGGCAAGATTGGCATCAGCCAAAACTGTAATGTAAACCAACATTATTAATCATTAGTATTGGCATATCAACTAATTAAAAATTACAAATACTGTAAATAATAAATCATATATAAACTCTAAATGAGTAGATAGATGTTAAAAACTTTTTAAAAGTAATTTATAATTGTAAATTTAATCCACTATAAAATCTTTAGTTGTCAAAAATATTTGTAAATGAGTATAAAAGTCGAGTACAGCATATTATAACATTACCTTTAGTGATTGCTGCTGTAAGAGTGGTCTTTCCATGATCGACATGCCCAATAGTACCTACATTACAATGGGGTTTTGTACGCTCAAATACTTGCTTCTCTGCATAGTTCCTTCTAAGTACAATACTTAATGGTGTTAGCCCATTTAGGCCAGTGGTACATCTGACATGTGAGCAATTGTTCTGCTTCAGTAGTAATTTGACAGCTGCAAGAAATGCAAAGATAATGTTGTGCAGGTAATCAATAACTTAACCTCAAAAATATTAAATGGTTCTCCGAATGAGATACACTTTCATAAATTCGCTAAATAGCTTGATACTTTCAAAACTCTTGTGAATACTATCTAACAATACTGTGATTAGGCTCTAAGAAGTATCAATCTAAGCAACCTACTTTTACATAATCCTTGATAACCGAATGGGGTGTAATGGTTTCATTACTTAAGTTCAAAATGTATTGCATTGTATACAAGTAGAAGTGAATAATAGTACGTCAATAAGCAGTTCAATAAAAAATATGTCCTAAATCTACGTATAAGAACAATTCGCCGTACCTGGGTTAACCAAACTTTTAGCAAATGAAATGGTGGCCATTCTGGTACTTTTGTCTACAGCAAAAGCTGCAGTTGTCAAACCAATAAACCAAACAATTCACCAAATAAGTTTTAGTTGTATAATAAGAATAATCTGTCTTATAAGCGGCTGCAGAAGTTATAATACTTCTGTAATAATAATTTCTGATTTTCTAAATTCTATCTTGACATGACATTTGTAACATGTTCGGCCCTTGGCCCGGAGCTATTCATAGACAAAGATGTTCTAGTTACTTTGTCTATGTTAAGTATAGAGTGGAGCGGTCGCCAAGTTGGCCAAGTACAGTTTTTGGTACTTGGAGGATTGGTCTAAAGGATATTTGTTATGGGGATAAGCTTCATTACGAATGCGCATGCTCGACCGGAGTGATACCACGGCATCATAAAATACCAACGTGAAATAACGATTGCGCTGTTTCGCCGTGTGAGTGATGTTATTACCGGAGTACTAATCCTTCCCTGCTTTAATAGGAAGGCAAACAATCAAACATTCACACACAAAAAACAACAGGGATTTACAAGTCCGTTGCCGGCCTGTTGTGGTTAGGGTTATATGACAATCGGGGATTCGAAAAGACTGGGCCTCCATTTACGCATGGGTTCCTGAGAAATCGCGGCATCATTCCAGTGAAGCCGGCCTGAAAGCATTGCTCTTTACTTATTTTTTAGTAAAACACCTTGTTAAATGTTGAAATAAAATTTTTATTTGCAAGTAGGTAACGTTAGTGTACTTTATACCGTTTGCATAGTCTAAATTTATTCTATTATTAATCTTAAAATTAAAAATCAAAGTCATCACTGTTTGGGGTCTCCATTCTTAACTCCGTTTGAGACGTATTTTCAGGCACGTACGTCCCTGAAGTATCTTAAAAAAAATGTTAGGCTTAATTTACTTAGATACCCAAGAAATAAAAAAAAACTAAATTACATGTATTGTGAATAATAAAAAAATAATAATGTTTACGTTTCGTTATTTTTGTAAAATTTAATGTTACCATTATCAAGAGAGCTTTGGTCCGTACTACCAAATTGTACCAACATTGAATTAGGTGGCTTTTCAGAGTCCAAAGCGCATTCATTAATTTTTAAATTATGTGGTTCGACGCTGGTCATGTTATTTTGATCATTTTTTTCTTTGATACTCGAAACGTAATTCTTGTCACGTCTAGCCCTTTTCGGAGTTCCCACTATAACAACGTTATTACCATTTTTGCTTGTAGCCTCGACTACATGGTCGTCATCAGATTCTGAACTTTCCACTGGAAAATCAATGTTAAACTTTTTTTTAAATTGTTTATTGTACTTCTCGATATCAGCTTTCTTAATTTTTTTGGGACTACATATAGCCCCTTTATGTCTAGCGACAAAACTGAAACGTTCTAAACGTTTATCAAGAGGCAATTTTTCAGCTTCGTTTGCTTGTGAAACAGCAGCCCTGAGGCGCCTATTATACTTTTTATTCTTTAGAAAACACTTTAATATGTCTTTATTCTGGGAATATGGTTTTAATTGTTCAGGAGCTATCCATGCTCGAGTAGCTTCCAAAGCATCAAAAAATACAACATTGTAATGAGTCTGTAAATGAAAAAGATAAACTTGTTGAACTCAGTCAGAATTAACTTTCGAAATATCATAGTTTTAAAGGCCAAGGAGAAAATATTTACAGGTATGTCAGAGAATCCGTCAAGCCAATAATATTGCTCGGTATCAGGACAGTCATCTACCATCGCCGGCCACCAGGGCCAACCACCTAGACGAGCTAATACCAGCGAACCCGCCGCATACTCGCTGTGGATTAAGTCTTCTTCGTCATGCAACCGCAACGGAGCTTCAGGAACAGAGCAACTAGCGAATTCTTTATCTGGAAATTCAAGGGAAATGGAATCAGGATATTTTGTATTTATTTTCTGAACGGCTGAGGGTGATAAAGAAGTAAAATAACAACATTGTACCTGCATTCATCCAACAATACCACTTTGCAGGCAGTTCATGCCGATCAAGTACAAAAGGCAGATAGCGCCAACGGTCACAGTCATCGCATTGTGCCCATAGACCAGCGGTACGGCGCTTTTGCAGCCAAAGCAATTTCTGGGAGTGTGTAAATTCATGGGGTGGTTGACTGAGAACATCTTTATACGAACTACCGAAAAAAAAGTCTGTGATAAATCAAAGTAGCAAAGTTTGGCTTCTTACTTGCAAAAGTCTTTTGGAATTCATAATTAGTAGGTAATAACAAACTAGGTATTTATAAATTATGATTAGGCAATTTATTTAGTATAAGACAAAATTAGAATCGGAGAACAATGTGAGTTTAGAAACATAACAATCAAGTTCAATCAACAACTTAGGTAGTTTAATTTAAGTACTTATACCTTTTTTGTGAGGAGTGTTTCAAATGCCTTCTCTCGTTCAGTGTATGGATAGATCAGACTCTTACTGGTTAAACCTCCCCCTTCTCGTACTTTATATATCAAATAAACCTACCTGCTTTTTTGGGAGAGTGCTTTCTCACTTGTGTCAACTTCTTTGGCAAAAGTAAGCTTCTTTGAGGGGTTTTGACAATGCATATTTTGCTGTCGCTAAAAATAAATAATTACCGATAGGTATTATTCGTTAAATTTTCTATCGTCTTTTGCAATTCGCAGTTCAGTATTAAAAAGTACTATAATAAAATATATATTTAACTTGTAGCAACATTTTTGTATGCAGTAACCTACTTGAAAAATCAGGAGCACTACATTTTTTATATGATGCTGCTGATGATGATCATGATGTTGATTGGGCGAGGAAAAAGCAACAGTTATGCGTGTGTTGAATCTTAGTGACTTACGAGGAACACTAAAGTGAAGCTACGCCCTTATTTACAGAATGTATATACACCTATGTACATATACATTATGTACAAAAGGGTAATTTTAACATGCCTACTTACTTAAATGAAAGATCCGTCAATCTATAAAAGGTTGCTTGTGAAATCTCTTGCAAAGATTTTTTCCAGACGATTATATGTATAAGTATGTAAAAAGGACTTACAATGTAAAACAGTGAACATAGAAACTAAGAGGTGTAAAACGTCAAGGTATTAATAAAATGTTACATTTATAATTTAGGTACTCAGTCTAATTATAAGAATTACACACAATTATGGTGATGCTTTAATAAATATAATTGTAAAATAAAGCGCATGTACGTGATTAGCGTTTAATACTTACAACTGGTTGATGTGCCTCTTCAACGGGCTCAATAGCCTTTTCCTTCGGTAAATCAGCATCAATCATGGTAAGCGTCGAAAAATACGATTTTTACTTTATATGTATAAGCTTATACCGCACTCTTTGCTCTCAAAAAGTCGTCAAATCAGTGGATGTTCAATGGAGTAATCAAATATCCAGAATCGCAAAGCATCAATATTCCTACGCAAAGCCCTTAATTAATTTTGCTTTTAGCGCCAAATTTTTGAACAAGAAAAAGATTTTTTTTTAATAGATAGGTATCAGTCCTTTAGCATATTTTTAGTAGTCACATTATTTTTTTGTTGTATTATAAACTACGTTTGTATTGGAAATATAAGTTAATCCTAAAATAGAGTTCCTATTCTATAAATATTAAATATTATTGATATGTATTTTTTTATATATTACTGTTCATCTACCTACTACTAAAATAATAATGAGCTAAAATGCAGTGAAATGATTTACCGCCTTTCAAAACTAAATAGTCATGTCAATTACTTTATATTAAAAATCATTTGTTTGTCAAACTTTAATAATTAAAAATAAAAATTTTCAAAAATAATTCTGCAGGGAGATTCACCTCAAATATAATTAGTGTTTTTGTGTAATATTTCGCTTTTAGCGGAAGTGCGCATCTGAAAAATCGGCTGGCTGCCGGTTGGTCGCCATACTTGTGGCGAGCTACATAGGAATTTGTTCTCCAGAGTTTTCGTCGTTATCGACGAAAGGGAGTACCTTTACTCCCTTTTTTGTGTTCTAAGTTACGTAATCGTCTATTTACCGTGTGGTAAAAGTTATTTGTATAGGAAAATATATTTTTCTTTGTTTTATATTACAAACATGGCTTTCTAAAATGTCGGCCTTGCACGTAATATCGTTATCTCCTTGCGGAGTGTCCCGCTCAGCCGTTTGTGTGGATGTTGGAGGAATCCAGAATGGAAAAGAAATCTTTGAACCGAACTTCTCAACCACAGTCGAGGGCATCAGCCATCGACTGTAAAAAAAACACTGGTGAGTAATGTTTGACGACATGTAGCTACCTGTTTATTATTAGATTTTATATCTAATAGTTGTATCTATTCGTAGATTGGTGTAATAAAAATATGGGATCTATTTTGCAAAACATAGGTGGTCTAGTATCCATTTTATTTTCTATGCTTGAATAATAAAATTTACCAAAACATAGAAGGTACTTAATCTGTCAAGTCTGCAATTTGCATGACTTGTACATAATATTCGTTGTCATAATGTCATATCAGTGTTCATCACATTATTTTCAAGTAGGTAATACATTTATTATTTGTTCAATTATTCGAATTTAATTACTAAACTAACGAATACTTATGAATTACCTATTAGATTCCTTAAAAAAAAACTAAACAAATCAAAGAGTTCTTGATTGGAACTAGATTGTTGTGTCCTATTTAGTGCTCCTCACTGTTTTAAGATCGCCTTTATTAATAAACATTGTTGTTTTAGAATCAACTCAAAAGCCTTGGCCTCGTAGCAATAAGAAACGTGAAGGACCTGGAAGTGCCCCCAAAAATGAACCAAGTAGAAAATATGCACCAGCACAACATGGAAGGGGACAGTTTGATAGGAGGCCAAGACCTCGTGGTTCCACAGGTTACCATGTGGGTGGAGCGCAGAACACCAGGTACACTTTGATAACATAATTATATAGGTAAAAGTATAAGCTTTATGATTTGTCTGTAATTACATAATTAATTAAATTTAATTACAGGTTAGGAGGGGATGAAGAGCCAGAAATTGGCTCAGTCTTTGTGCCCGGAAGTAAGAAGCAAAACTTGAACCATTTGCTTAATTTTACATACCCCTCTCGTGGAGTGCCAGAGCACAGGGGTCACCAGGTCAGACGTCCAGGGTTTCAGTACCGTGGTCCAAATCGATATGGACATGACCATTATTTGAGAGCTTAGTAAGTATCACTTATTAGCGTTTATAATAATTATTTGTTTCTTTAAATAAGTCTTTAAATGTGTTTGTTTTAGACATTTGTTTGAATAATAATGTGTATGTATAATGTGTTATAATAATATTGCTATGTGTGTGTGTCAGATACATGAAATTATTATTTAGAATGAATTTGTATAAATATTATATAAATATTAAATTTTTTTATTTGTTTGTTTCAGTTGCCAGTTCGTGGTAAATGAAGATGGAGATATTAAAGCAAATCTGCTAGATCCCGATATCCCATTAAAGTGGGAACATATTGAAGAAGTTGTGAGTATGACTCACTTTATTTCTAGACAATGAAAATGAAATACTGATCATATTCAAAGAAAATCCTATCATTCTTTTATTTAACAACTTGTCTCTGCATTGTTCTCACATAAGGGTACAATTATGTATACTATATGTGTTAGTTGTATTGTGTTAGGTACTCCACTTATAACAAGAACGGCTGAACAGATGTAGCTGAAAATTGGCAGGGTGGTAGGTAAGAGCCAGGAGAAGGACATAAGATAGGGTAGAGAAGGTAGTGTAGGTTAGGTAGAGTAGGGTAGGTAGGGTAGGTACTCAAATGCCGGAGCGACGACGCGGATGAGAGCTACTATTATTTTTAAAAAAGAGTAATGTTGGAGTTTATTCTTGTTCTTCTCCATTCCAATCTACATTTTTAAACAAGCTTCACTGACGAACAGACTGATAGACTACTATTCTATTTTGATATTTTAAAAGTACTTATTTATGGTTTTAAATTTGTGAAAATAACAAATACAAATTTATTTTAATTATATTTACTGCATTAAATCATGAATATTTTTATAACTTCTTTCAGGTGGTCAGAGCTACAGGTCGTTCAAAGTGTCTTATATGTTTGGGACCTCCGGCGGCTGGGCGTGTGTATCGTTGTGGTCACATATACTGCTGGGCCTGCATTCTGCATTATGCTGCAACTCATGACAAGCAACCACCTCCATGTCCCATGTGCTCAACACCATTGCACGTTAATGACATGAAACCCATAAGAATTGTACAATGGGAACCACTTGCAGAAGAGGTAAAGGTTTAAACAGCAAATACAGTTTTATGTTCTATTTTTATTTCAGATATATTTTATACTAGTGCCGCCCTGGCTTTGCACAAATGCATTGCTGATACTAAATTTCTCCACTGTTTATGATGATATAAACATTCATCATCAATCACTTTTATCTAATAAAAAAACCTCATCAAAATCCGTTGGGATGTTTTAAACATTTAAGGATAGATAAAAAAAATCGAATTTGTTTTAAACTATGTAGTGATATTTATGCCGTTTTGTAGGTCACTATGCGTCTCGTACGCCGCCTGCGAGGTTCAACATCTGTGGAAATGGCGCCACCACGCGGTCAAGTGATTGAGGCAATGCCAGCAATTTTGCCTCTAGAAAATATTAATAATGCACCATATACTAAAATGTTCTCTGCCACTAAGCAACAGGTAATTAAAAAAAGAGCATTGCATTTTTGTCTATTTTAAGCCCTCTTCATGAGGACATTGTATAGAGTTAGCAACAACATTTTTTAAACATGAGTAATGGGCCATTGCATCTTTGGAAAAGTTGAACTATGGATGAATACAGAACACGAAAATATTGAAACTTTTTAATTAAAATTCATTAAGAAGTTAAAAGTAATCAGAAACAATACTACTTAAATTCAACTCTTGTAGAAATGTTGAACAAAAATACTTTGAGTTGTCATTGAAAAGTTCTATGAATATGTATGAAATCGTAACATATGACATCACAATGCTTTTGTATTGGATAGCTTATTCATGTCTAAAAAACATTCATACATTCTTAAAAAAAACTCACATCATTGTTGACCTAAGAAGTTATCCAATTAATATTAATAATTGGAATAAGCTGCTAAAATGTATATTCCAGCAAATTTTAAATTTTAAAAAATCAACCTAATAGGTTAAATATTTTTTTTGCTATTGTATTGATAATGTTGAAGATTTTAGTTATTTCAAATTATTATTATAATATAATATAAACAATCAAAATTTTAGGTCCTTGAAATCTTGATAAGAGAGAGGCATGAAATAGAGAATCAAATCTTGGCAGAGATAGACACTACTGAAATAGTTTACTTGGAACAAGCTTTAGAAATGCTCAAGTCCAAAGAGGAAAATATCAATCTTAGATTCAGTGAGCCGAAGGTTACTTTGAAAGAAGAAACCGATGCTGCAGTTCCTACAGTATATGAAAAACAGGAAGAAAACCAAAACAAATTAGATTGGTTTGATGTAAACGAAGATGGAGCAGCTGCATGTGCTGAAATTATGCAAGGAACAACCAGCGACACTGGGTTGGCAGATACAAATACTAATGAAAAAGATGGTGCACCATTTAAAAATCTAGAATGGCTGGATGAAAATGAAGTTGGAGCTGCTTGTGCTGACATTATACATAATAATATGGAAGCATTAAATCTTCACACAGTTGATTCCAATTTGAATCCAGAAGCACCATCTTTTGAAAGAGATGAAATGCAGCCAGAGGTATTTCCTCTGACTGAAGGTTTAGTTCAGGAAACAAACCAAATTGAGGATAATGCCGTTACAAATATTGATAAACTCAACCACAAAAAATTCTTTTATTTCTATCAAGCTGAAGATGGACAACAAATATTTTTACACAGCTTGAATGTGCGCATTCTGAATGCATCATGGGGCGCCTTGGCTGCTGCTCCTCAAGTAATACGTGGACGTGTTTTGCACCGGGAAACATTTTCACTCACTGAGCAGGTAAAGAAATAACTATAATTTTCTTTGTGATCCAAGTGTGTAAAATTACGTAGCAGTTTTTTGGGCTGTTAGTGTGAATAATTGATATTCTAAGTGATAATCACTTAGTAATAGAATGTTATTCAAGGTGTTACCTCTATTTACTTTTTTTTAACTCACGTAAGATAACACAAAGTCTCCATGGTTTCCTGAGTTTTAATATGTTTTTCCATATTTTGTGTGTCATTATTTATTGTTTGATATTTTTACAGGACCGAAAACACATGCCTTGTACAGCACACTTACCTCTCTTTTGTGCTTATGATATTGTTGAGTTAGAACTACAGCCGCCATTTGTCACTGAAGCAGCATTGAACAATTTTTCTGGTAAAATTATTTTATTATAACATATTTGAGTTATGATGCTTGAAAGCAGAAAAACTTATTTACTTTTTTTTGTAGGTGAATTAAAACGTCGTGCACAGGTGCGCGCACGTCGTAAACGCGAAGAAAAGCTCGCCAATCGTCGCGCTGCGGAGTATCAACAAAGGCCAGACCTGTCCTCCTTCCCGCCCTATTCCAGCTCGCCACCTTATTCCAGCCCGCCTCTTAATTCTAGCCCGCCACTGGTTCCCAACCTAGGCGAACCATCCACTAGCATTGGGTCGCCACCTTCAGGAATGTCTTTTGCTCAGGTATAATTTTTGAGAATTTAAGTAACAAAAAAATCAATCTTATTGTAAGCCTTGTTTGAATAGATAAACAAAAAGGTTGATGAACCTTTTGGTTTACGAGATTTAAAACTGAAACCTAACAATTCGTGTTAATTTTTAACCATAGCTTTTGAATTGCTTTTAGATGGCGGGCAATAGCGGTACATGGCGTGAGCGTAAGACGCCCGTGGCACCGCCCCCGCCTCCTGCTGCACCTGCTCTCGACGAAGTATCCGCTCCTCGTATGCCAATGCTCATGGATTTTGTACTCACTAACCAAGGTCCTTCTAAGAAGAACAAGAAATCCAAGCGGAACTCTTAATTTTTCTATTTGAATTTCATAGTTTTTATCGGTATTTGTTGACTTAATTTTATTATTGACTTAATCTTAATAAGCTTTTCCAAGTATAAAAAAGATTAAGAAAATTATATGTACAATAATTTGCTTTTTATAAATTGTAGACAGAAATATACGAAATATAGGTTGAGGGGCAATAATGACTTGAATTACACATTCATCAACATAAACATTTATGACAATTCATTCTGAACAATTCGATTAATTCTGTTATTATTGTATTTTTTTTTTGTAGTAGAGCAACCTGATAATTATGTTATGTTATGCTAGAAGCTTTGTTCTCCATGTAATGGTTAGATATAAAGCGTAGCCCGTTATTTGTATCGACAAGTTATTGGTGAAATAAAATTCAAACATGTGATAATATCGTTTTGTTTCTTAAATGTGCTCCCAACTGAAATCACACAAAATCAAAAAAAGTCAGCGTGAACCAACACTGTCTATTAAGATTTGTATGTCTTTGCCAATACGATGAAATCCGCCGTTTCTTCCGGGAAGTGATCGGCGGCGGTGCTGATTGAGAGGAAGTGGGAAGCCGTCTCCTCTTTCTGTGAAGTAGTGACGCTCGCAAAGGAGGTGTGAGGGTGGAGGTGCCAGGCGAAGTAGCGAGGTGGTTTTGTCAGTAAGAGCCCGACACTTCTCGCCTTGCCCTGGGCGAGACGTCATTTGATAATATACCCTGTCAAAAAGAAGGGTTCCGATCAGTTGGGAGGTACTGGCAGTAGGGGGGCTATGAAGGCAATTAACAGGAGGTATTTGTTTTTCTTTCTTTCATCAAATATTCAAAATCCACGTTTGCATGAGTAGCTGCAAATTTAGCATACTTAATGGACTTTCATAATGAGGCCTCCCGGCTCTTATGACAACTTAAAACCAGCGATTACCCTGTGGGCACTGAAAATGCTCCCAAGTACTTCGTGTAAGACTTGGCGCAAGAGGTAGTGTGGGTGGGAACTACAGTAGGACCTTATAGTCCTATCATCTGCCTAAACAATGTACCTAATTTATACCCATTATATTACTTTACTGTTTGATTTATATAAATTATATATTTATATATTATATATACGAACTTACAAATTTACCTCTTTATAATATTAGTATAGAGAATAGGTAGCAACTAATATTACTGCTACTTTTTTAACGTCACTGTTTTTATTTGTTATTATTTTAATTCTTTATTTAACCCTCAGGGTATGACTAACAAACTGAAAATGAACTATATATCTCGCGGGTCTGCGGGTGACGAGCCGGGGTATCTTGCCGTCCGGCCACACCCGAGTGTGTTGCGCGTGGCCTTACGCGCGCGCCTCAAAAAGTCGCTACAGATGAGTCAAGCGCAATAAGGTACCGCGGCTTCGGCCTGGAGCTGGAGATGTTAGTATGTTAGTCAATAAGTCTGTCACTCCCTCTCGCCATACCTGGACGAGAGAAGTCATTTGATGATTTTCCCTCCACTATAACCTTATATCTAAAAGATAGGGTGATTATATTGCATAAACAAAAAAAACATTCAAAGGTAAATTAACCCATGCTGAGTCTACAACATGGATACGGTGTAACTGTAATGATTTTGAGTGATTTTGTATAAGTATCTAATTTTAATTAATGTTTTTTAGTTGTCGATGTCGGAATTTTTATTCATGACATTGACAGTTGACAGGTTCTCATCTAATGTCACAATATTTTACCTATAGCACGCTTACAGAATTTGTAGAGAAAAATAAGCTATCAAGGAATAGTAATTTAAAATTTAATATTTATTCATGTATGAATTGTTGTGAGGTGTAATTGTACAATAGCTGGATGTTATTGTCTTCATTAAACTTGTTTAAATAAGTATATCTATTTATATTGTTTCCTCATTAGCGTAAAGGATACGCTTATTAAATAATATATTATGACGTCTAGAAGAAAAGACTACATATTTGAACCATTTAAGGTTACCGAAGTTAAATATCGAGGATTTGATAATCCCAGACCTCGTAGTGGACATAGGATAGCTTGTGATGATACTAACGTTTACTGTTTTGGTGGGTACAATCCTTCGTTACCACCGCTACCTGATCGTGTAAGAGAAAACCCGACCTGGACGCCAGCTCAACCCCTTTTTAAAGAGCTTTGGAGCTTTTCAATAGCTAGTCGAAAATGGAAGCACCACAGAGTGACTGAAAATATGCCGGAGGAACTGGCATCAAATGCAATGTGTATGAATGGCAAATACTTAATGGTATTTAATTTAATACATATTTGTAGAAGATTAATGTTTTTAAATCATATAATACAATAAAATATCTGTGATATTTCATTTCAGATATTTGGTGGAACAGGTGCTCCTTTCGGCAATAAATGCAATAATGATGTGATTGTGTGGCGCACATCCAATGAAGATAACAAGCTTCATATCTTAGAAGCTACTGGTGTTAGACCACCTGCACAATATGGCCAAGCAATTATGTGCCATGATGGATGTTTTTATGCCATTGGTGGCACCAATGGTTTTGTCTATAACTGTGATATATATAGGTAACTTATATGATATTCAAGTAGCAGCTTTTATCCAATACTAGCGGCCTGCCCCCTCTTCGCACGGGTCCAACTATTACTATAAAAGGCGCACTTCCCTTCTTCTTTTCTAATATTCTCTTTAATAAGAACGTTCTCCTGACAATAACAAACAACAAAAAAAGAATTCGCAAAATTGGTCCAGGCGTTGTTGAGTTATGCGCTTACCAACACTTTTGCGATCCATTTTTATATGTAATAATAAAGAAAGATCTTTCATGTAATATAATTTCTCAAAGTCCTATGTCTTTCCAGGTTAGATCTTCGAACATTAGTTTGGGAACTGGTGTATCTTGGCACAGGCCAGGAAGGAGAACCATTAGGCAGGTACAGACATGAAATAGCCCATGTTGGTAATAAATTGTACATAATTGGTGGAGGAACAGGGGACCAGGCATTTGAACTTATGGAAATACCAATGTTTGACTTTGATACTAAAACTTGGACAATTTTAACTCCAAAAGCAGATGATAGCTCAAAAGACACTATTACACCTTTACCCAGAAAGTGCCACAGTACTGTGCAGATAGATACAGAACATGGCACTCAAGTGTTTGTGGCAGGAGGGTCAGACGGGCAGTCAGTGTTTGAAGATATTTGGAGGCTAAACATCTCTGATTTACAATGGACACTGATGCAGAAAACTGTGTTACCACATCCTCTGTATTTCCATTCTTCAGCTGTTACATCATCTGGTTGCATGTTTGTCTTTGGAGGTATTGAGCCAAAGGAGGATGCTACCTGTAGGAATAATATAATGTACAAAGTATGGTTATGCTTGCCTAAATTGAGTGAAATATGTTGGGAAGCGTTATTGCATTTTCATCCAAACTTAGATCAGGTAGACAGTAGAACATTATTAAATATTGGAATTCCAAGTCACTTTGTACGGAGATTACAACCTCAGTGAGGATTAAAATACATTTATTTTTCTCTATGTAATATTGTGTTCTACTTATGTATTTGCCTATTGATAAATGTTTTGTGCAACTAAAAAGTTGATAAATATAAATTAATCACTAGCAACATAAAATATGTTTTATTTCTTATTTTTAAAAATAAGTGTTGTCACAGAATATTGATATTTTTTTTTTAATTTCATGGGCTGCTTGCTCCTTTGTGTCCTAATATGGAATAGTGATGATTAAGGCCGTGTTACATTTTTTTTATCAGGGTTTAATTACTCAACATTTTCGTCTATTGTTTTCAATAAATAACGCCACACCTTTTAGAAGGGCACTAGCCGTCCATAATTTATATGTTTGTAATGAAACACCCATTAATGAAGATAAGTTTATTGTCAATCAATGGTCAATTCCAGACATTAACTGGCCTGGGGGCAGGACCTGGACTAGACCTAGACCGAGAGAGAGGGAAAACCCCAGGAAGTCGCGTTAACGATAATAACTATCAACGTGACAGTATTGAACAAAATGGAGATGTGTTTTACGTCTGTTACTCACTACTAGACTAGATCAGTCGGTGAAATAGGACCGAATAGAGTAGGTTTCATGTAGCAGTCAAGGGCGGATCCACCGTTGTGGGCACGATGGGTATGCCCACAACCTTAATACACTTGTGATTGAAATAGGTTTGGATCGAAACTGACTATTAGAAATTAGGAGAAATCGTATCCGACTTCTTCCTAAGTTTATTTTATTCCTAAGGCCAAAGTCCTGATGCTCAGAAAAAAGGAAATAAGTAATCTAATTCATAAGTTCATAAACGATTTGCATGATTGTTAATGAGCACGTCCTTGCTCCGACTCGTACTTAGCCGTTTTTCTAGTAGCTGTGACCACAACCTTTTTTGAAGGCTGGATCCGCGCTTGGTAGCAGTTAAGAGTAAAAAACGAAGGGGAGGACTGAACCAAAGTCTTAGTTAAACTAATGTTAAGTTCATTGCATGACGATGTTTTCTGAAGGTAAAATAGGGTTTTAGACAAAAAATTCTAAATGTAAGCTTAAATGCAGTACCTAATTTGCTCAAGCTTTACAATCTGCTTGTTGTTATTTGCTTTTCGTCTTGTGGCATGCGATGATGGAGTACGTCTACCCAAAACCCATAAGCATTCTTATCACTCGGGGAACACAGATTTTGGCAAAGGATTCTATTCTTTAGGGGTTGTGATGATAATCGGTGGGAGAGATATCTATTTTCTGGTGGTACGATTCCGATGTAACAGTTTCGCGTAGGTAACTACTATTCGAAGTAGATTATATAAAAGATCGAAAATGTTTGTGGCTAGTCGTTGATGAGCCGTTTGGCACGACTTTTAGAGAGCAATCGACGCCCCCTTTCTTTGTTTGCCGCACACAGCAATAATAGTGTACTTAAATGGCACTATTATTGCTGTGTGAGGTCTTGTTTGTCCAAAACAGAATTAACGAACTGTTTTATGAAAAATCATTGCATATTTATTTTTTGTCGGTTGCAGAAATGGACTACGATACATCAGCGTTATCTACATAGTAAGCAAAAAAATGTAGCCTCCATTGTCTACCTACCTGGTGTTATGCGAATTGCCTTTTTTTAATAAGACGAATATAGATCTAAATTGCCTACCTAGAGATATCCATGAAAACACTGAAGTAGGTACGGTGCGTCCCAGTTACAGGGATAACTGTTTTGGAACCCGCAACGAAATAAATCAGGAGATTTATTTATTCAACTATTTATGTACTTATACAGTGAGATGTTACTTAAGGAGAAGAAAAACGAAATAGTTTCCACTTCCCTCAATGAATTTTATTTTGGAGGCAGAATCACTAAGCTTTAAAGGCACAGAGACTGCACAACAGTCACCAAACACCATGAAAAAAATAATGGGTCTGAACACTCGAATTGTTTATACCTTAGCGAATTAATAATTACTTCATACACATACATATAAGACTAACTTAAAGCCTTGGGATAGTTTAGAACAGCCCTACCCCAACCACTGTCTTCCTGAATAGAAACGGACCCCAAAATGTCTTATGTATGAGCTGCAATACCCGCTTATTTGCAGTAATAGGCATGACTAAAACGAACGAAAAATTTTACATTCCACAGGTCCACATAAGTACACCTGATGAAACAAATTAAATAATCAAACATAGTACGGATTCTCTTAGGGAGAGTCCAGATTCCACTTGTTGAGAATACCTACTGTAGAATAGCGTGAAACAATTTGAGTGTTTTTCTACTGCATTACCAATTTATAGACAGCTATTTGATCTTTATCCATTTTCCACCCAGGACGGGTGTAACGTTCCAGTTCTAAACGAGATTAGGTATGAATGACAAAAAAAACTAGATACTTTCGCGCCGTGTCACTTCAGTTCCTATAGATCGCGGCGTGATGTTTTGAAGTTTAAAGCCTACCTCGATAAATGGTCTAACAAACACAAATAGAATTGTTCAATTCGAACCAGCAGTTGCGGGGATTAGCGCGTTCAAATAAACAAACTCTACAGCTTTACCTATAATTGTAGTTAAAAGTTTTGTAATTTCTATAAACATAGGTAGGTAAGTCAGTAAGTTACTGAACTACTTATTTACTTACCTTAAGTAGATACGTCATTATATATTAAAGTAAAGTAAAGTAAAGTAAAGTAATCTTTATTGTGTTGGTTACAGGTGTTACACAAATTTATAGTGGTAGATATACAGTACAACAATCAGCCCGTTTGGGCATACAATAATCAGGGCTGGTACATTATTAATTAAAACAAAATTACAAGTTAACAACAAAAAATATATAAAAGTTACACATTACTTATTTTTAAAAAAATCCTTAATTGCATAATAACATTTTTGTGCCAGCCATTCCTTTATTTTTACTTTAAACAATCTTAATGGAAGTTCTCTGATAGTTTGGGGTATTTTATTATAGATTTTTATACACATAAACATACAATTTCTGTGATACAGAGTGGTTCTGCATTTTGGTACAACAATCTTACTAGGATCTCTTTTGCTGAATGCACTGTTTTCTGAAACTTTTTCGAATAATTGTGGGTGATTTCTTACGAAGAGACCAACTTCAATGATGTAGGTATAAGGCAAAAATGGTGAGTATTTTAGTTTTCTGAAACAGGGGTTTGCAAGAATCAAAGGGACCGGCATTACACATTGCTCTTAAACAGCGTTTCTGTGCCAGGAAAACTTCGTTAATTATTTCGTAATTTATTCTAATATAATAACGATTACAGTTACCTAGTAGAATTCATTAAATTAAATCAACATTAACTTAGTAGTTGATGTGGTGCGATCAACGTGAACCTGACTCCTATTTCAAGGGCAGGTGGTGGCGGTCGTGAGTCGCAACAAGTGCTAGGCGCGTCGGCGTAGGGCGTGCGTCGGGACGCCCGCCGTCCGTCGTCGCCGCGGTTTCGCGCCAATTCGCGCCCGCAGTGATGGGAAGCACGCCTCACGAGCGGGACACGCTCGCTTTGTCCGCGAACGCTTGAGTTTCGAATGCGATTAACTGTTAATACTTTTCAACTCAACAGTTAACATTTACATTGTACGAATCTGCTTAACTATTTACTCCAGTGTACTTCGACATCAATATGAGTACATTTCGTTTAAAACCAAAGGAAATAGCGGCAATTATGTCGCTTCCGGATGCATACCCGAAAAGTGTAAAACTTCTCAACAATACGATGAATGTGCGATTAATTTTAAACGGAAGTGGTAGTAAAAAGTCTCGTCAAGTCGGACACTTGTAAGCGATGACGGATACCACAGAGGAAACGTTGCCGGAGGTGTCGACGGTGGCGTCGGCCCCGCACCGTACTCCAACACCTGAACTCCATGCGACGTACACTACTTTCGAAATTTTGGTGGCTCTGGTGGCAGTCGTGGGGAACGCTATGGTGATCTATGTGTTCCGTCGTGAGCGTAGACTGCGACGACGCACGAACTATTATATTGTGTCTTTGGCTGTGGCAGACTTCTTGGTGGGTCTATTTGGAATACCGTTTGCGATCCTCGCTTCGGTGGGCCAGCCGCGGAACTTACACGCCTGTTTATTCACTGTTTCATTGTTAGTGATGCTGTGCACTATTAGTATCTTTTGCTTGGTGGGTGTTTCGGTTGATCGTTACTGGGCTATCCTGCATCCGATGTGCTACTCAAGGAATGTGCGCACTAGAACAGCTATTGGTGAGTACCTAAGTATAAACTAGTTTAAGGGCATTATTGTTTAAAATGAGTGTCGTAAGATGAAAATTATGAAGTTCAAACAGAATTTGCGATAGTGATATATGATATGCTGGGTATTTCTGACCTGGCCACGTGTCCCTAACAGTTTATTAACAATCTCAAAATCACCACCGCCTGGAGGAGGTCGTTATAAAGGATATTTTATTGCTGCTAACTACCAGATGATCATTGTTTTAATACAATGGCAATCAATGCCATACTAGTGCTTGCTACGCAATAGGCACTTACTTGATAATAATGTACAATCAATTATATTATGATACATATTTGTCTTCAAAGAATTTTCCGATAGAATTTATACGTCAGACACCTACGCCAGATATTAACAGTAGTTCATCAAGAAAATTAACTTTTTATACTAATTGTATTCAAACAAACCAACAAACAAACAAAGAATAACTCTTCAGCTTTATCTATAGCATTATTTAGTACTGATGAAAGAATGAAGTCAGTGACACAGATACTTACTTACTTATTATTTATAAGTATATATTTACCAAAATAATAGACCCCTCACACGTTCACTTAGATATTTACTTTAATATAAGAAACGCTTTGTCCATAGTAGGTATGATGAAGGTGCCTGATAAAGCAGCCTAGAACAAAGCTGCATTATGCGATAACTAACAGTCCTCGACAACCATCATATCGTCCTCTGCAAAGACTTAAAATTTTACTAAAAATTCTTTTAAAACCTTGAACCGGAAAAAACCGGATCGGTTGAGAAACAAATTAAATCCGGTAAATGTAGTCGGTAACTTAGCTTTTTTTGAAGGGGGAAAATCACCAAATGACTACTCACGCTCAGGGTGAGGCGAGATGAATTATTTGACTCTTACTGACTTTGGGGGGCAAGCAGAATAAGGCCATAAACCCTCGGCCCAAAGCAGAAAAAGGGACGGGAGACTTTTAGTCAGTAAGAGTCTGACACTTCCTCTAGGTTCACCCCGGGCGAGCGAAGTTATTTGATGATTTTTACCTCACAAAAAGACTTACTAATAAAACCAACCCGGGACTTTATTGTGATTGCCCCGGCTGAACATCAGCCACATTGGGCCCCCTCTGTAGTGGTCTATTGTGCCAGTTGCTTAGCTCCCGGACTATACAATTTATTAAAACTATAATACAATTTATTAAGTATCAATGTTTGAATAAACTGAAGGGGAGAATCATAAAATCTGACCAGTAGGTACTCCCAAGTTATTTTCGGTTTTTATTTTTAAAATGCGTTCCAATTTCATTCATAAGGTCAATTTACTGAATCAGGTCATAATAAACAGAGATCAAAAGGATGCCGTCACAAACAAAACTCAAACAAAATTACAACAAATTTTGTTTGGCTAATTGAGAATTATTTTTCATGAGACAAACACGAATGGTATTTAGGACAAACCCCAACAATGCTTAACTTTTTATTTGTGAAACGATATTGATTATGCTTTAACAGCCAATGCAAAAACTCACTTCGTATTATTGTGAGGTCTGATAGATTCTCTATTATTTAAAGGAGGGGCAGGGTTGACGAGGTGACCAGTCAGCTAGTTGGCGCCTTATTTACTAATTCCTACTAAACTAAACTTTTCTTATAAATGTAAAAGTTTGGGAGAATCTAGGTAGGTGATACCCTTGATTAACACATAGGCTACTTTTATCCACCTCGCGAGCGAAGATGCGGCCGGAAGCTAGTTAAAACCAATCCAACATCACGCCAAGGTAACCGAAAATTATTATGTTTCAACCAATTTCGATGCATTCGTCACGATAAGTGTACTGGGCGTCTGTCTACCAGTAGGTAGGTCTAAGAAAAACAATGAATCTAAGGCTTCTTTTTCTCGGCTTTGATTTGATTGAAAACAGTGCAGTGACCTGTTATTATTGGGATCTAAGTTCTCTTGTCTTGGTTAAATTGTACTAAGTAGGTACTGATAACGATGCTCGCTTTAGTTCAAAATATATTTCAATATTATTTTAATGATGAACCTAAAAAATATACCTTTGTGTGTCATTCCTCGTACTTTGTTCGGAAACCAATAAGAAAACAGAATAAGTTAAAGAAAGTTCAATTATAGACAATATAACAAACCAAGTTTTAACTAAGTATATTTTTACGATCTACGATAAATAATAATTATTAAAACAAAACAATAACAATAAGATATCTAAACATTGTTTCGTGATGTAGATCTGAAGTACATAATTATAAACGCATAGCGCCCTTGCCGTTGCGTATGTATGGATACGAAGTACTAAAGATAATGATTATTGTTTTAAATCTACACTTTGAATTTAAAGTACCTCAATTAGTGCTTTGGCGACTCGGTGACGTACGCCGTGTATCCGTCCATGTGTTAACTGATATGTTTTGAGATAAGGAAGGCATATTACAATTCATTAGAAGACTACATAAATCTATCATAATCTTGACAATCATTGTGGAAGACCGATGTTTCGGCACCACAGCTCAACTGGAGTGCTCACGGTCCACGGTCTCATATAAAATCACAGCGTTGTGTTTAGACGTGTGAGTGATAGCTTACCGGAGACCCAATCTTCCTCGTCCTTTCATTCCTAGTCCCCAATCCTCAAATCACGAAACCCCGAATGGTCATCTGATAGATTGTTTAGCATACAACAGACGAGGTTGCGGGGGCAAGAGCAATAAGGCACCGTAGCCTCAGCCTTAAGCAGGAGAAGGAACCCGGGGGTTTTGTCAGTAATTGTCTGAGACTCCCTCTCGCCCTATCTTGGAAGATGATTTCCCCCTCCCAAAAATAGCGCACCTACATAGACTAATATATTGTTGATGGTCTTGTAAGATTTAATATTGTGCGGGCTCTGTGTTTGTATTGAGCTCTCAATGTTGAACATTATTCTGAAACTATTTAGGTAGTTGAGTGTTTAAATATTTTTGGTCAACTACACAGCTAACCAAAAATATTTTATCAAAACTCAATTAATTTATTAAAATATTATTTCTTACCTACTTTAGAAGTTGTACCTAGGTAGTTGTTCAAAAAATATACTTTCTCTATGCATGAAACCTTTTATTCTCGCAGGATTTTTATAATTCAAGAACAAGATGAAAAAAGGTCAGACGTCTCTAATGAATTTTGCGCGCCAAGATTAGGTATTGTCGATTCCTTAATCTCTGGTCTATGGAAAATGAGGAAAAGAGAAAAAAGATGTAAACCGCAGATCTTCTGATGAATGTAAAATGATATAACTTGATGCTGACCACAAGTAAACGCTTTGAAGGTTGTGCATGCAGGATGGCTAACAATGAACACATTACAACACATTACAGTAAGGGTTGATTGATTCATGGCCTAAATGATAGAGAGTGATAATTTAAAATAGCCGATAAACCATAATAATATGACAATTGAAATTGTGTCACGCGATTTTATAACTGATTCATTTAATGTGGGCTTATTTCCGGATAATATTTTTTCCTTCCTCGTTATCGAGTGATCGTAAATGTTGGGAAAGAGCTCTCGCGTTCAATTTTTCGAAAATTGATTATTGCCAGCACTGTGTTTGGAATTGCGCTCAGTACCTACCTGTCTATAGGCCTTTTGTGGCATATTTTTGTACTCACTATTTTGATGTCGTTGACACTCGTTGATACTTAGGTAAATAATTACCGTTTAGGTATTACTAATGATGTAAATGTAGTAGTAGTAAAAGTAGTAATTAATTTATAGTAATTCAGTTCGTAGTAAGTAAGTACCTACACATATAAATTGAACTCAGTTCGTAGTAACTTTTGTACCTACTTACCTACCTACGTACAGGCGATATTTATTAAACAATATTACCTATAAACAATGTTGTTTGAACGTAATAATAATAATATAGGTTAGTCCAGATTAAAAAAAAATCGTAAGTAGTTAAATGGAATCGGATAAAAACAATGAACGGGCCTTCAGTTTTTTGTGTTTTGATACGTTATATTAGTAAACAATATCGCTGTTACATAGTGAGTGAACCGCCACACCTGCTGCTAGTCAAGCTAGTACTTAAATTGTTACGATAAAACTTACCGTTTCGTCAAAAATCACGAATATTATTATATTTTTGTCACCTTCGAACCTAAGTCTTTTTTAGATACAGGTCGGATCCATAAGAACATTTTTGAGGCACCGCGACCTCGGGCCAGAGCAGGAGAAGGAACAGGGGGGTTTTTAGTCAGTAAGAGTCTGACACTCCCTCCCGCCCGACAGCAGGAGAAGTCACTTGATGATTTTCCCCTCACAAAAAAAAATAAGGGCATTTTACTATATCGGTGTAAGTAGTTCAATTTGCACTGTCCTAGAGCAGGAGAGGGAACGGGATAATCTTTAGTCGGAAAGAGTCTGATGCCACATTCACGACACTTTTGTGTCATCCAGGGTGGAAGAGGTTATAACAGGAATATTTTGTCCCAAAAAAACTTCAGCAGACTATGTAGGAACAGTATAGATGTCTGAACATGTCAAATTAATATGACAAATAGTAAAACATTAAATACAATACACCTTAAGAATATTTTCTTAAATTAGTATCTGTCAACTAATCCTTTTAGTATATTACAACAATGATTGTCGTAATAGATAGATGGTACCTACCTACCTACATATTATATTTGGAATTTTATTTAGATAAAATTCTACATTATATAATGGGTTCTGCGCTCCTTAAAGATTTATTATGACAAATTACCATGGGCGACACTGAATCAAACGATGCGACACAAATAGCACAATGATTTAATTTCCACGAAATGTCATCCACATGGTCTAGCTAGCACACATAATGTAAATTTATATATTGTTTATGTAACCTATCTATAAGTACCATTTTTCTTATAATATCATTGGTTAGGAACCTATGAAATTGTCATTTTTTAATAAAACAAATGAAGCGTATTTTTTTATTATTATTTTTGGTAACCACTTTTCAACAAACGCATCGCTATGGTAGTTTTGTTGAAGATATCAGGTGGACGGCAGGCAACACATTCTTCAAAATCATTTTGTGGTGCCTCTCGGGTACCTATTGAATCGTTTTCCCAACACAATTAACAACAAAGTTATCCGAAATTAAGTAGTTTCGGAACCTATTCAATTTAAACATACAATCTTTCCTCTTTGTAATATTAGATTATGATTTTTATTTGGCTAATTAATTAAACCCCAAGCGAACGCGTTCGCGCACTTCTATTGTGTGTCAAATTTCCACGATTGAAGGCTAATGTAACCATCAAATACATTGAGGAATATTTTCATTCTTGTCATTAACAGCAGACTTTTAAACCTGCTTAATAAAATTAGTTCACTTAAGAACAGAGCATAAGTCGTTTCTCTGTATAATTTCTGCTATTGTTGATTTTAAGGAACTCTCTTATTAGGTAAATTAGGTATTTATAAGCTACTTCTATGTTTAACAATACGAACAGAAGTAGGTACGACTTTCTACTAAATGTAAAATTATCGAATTCTATGAATGGGTTTGAATGTTAAATAAAATACCTATTAAGTTCATTTTTTTTTTATTTCATCATCTTTTAGTAAGCATTTAATAGTTTAGTTTGGTTATGCAAAGTAATAAGTGCTAATAGCATTAGCCTAATCTCCCACCTGAACGCTGTCCTGAAAATTTCAGAACAACGTGAAACAATATTTGCTGAAAAATAGCTATACTAAAGTGGACTTGATTTTGTAGACACTGATTAGTTGTTTATTAGATAAATAAAATCTTAAATAATAATAAACTATAATTGGATGATTAAATTAACATATTTTATTGGTACAAAGTCCTATAGATATATTATGAAATTATTTTTATCAACTAAAGGATTAGAAAAGATAAGAATGGGCCGACAAGACATTCTAGCTGATATTTTGTCTGTGGTATGCTTACATAGATCAAAAAATATGAAAGAACTGGGATTTTTCGCAACAAAAACCAAGGACCATAAATTGTCTCATAAATGTCACATTTGGGCTTCCATAACCTTGTGATGGGTCCTGTACTAGAAAACAAAGTATGTATTGTCATCGTTGGATAATATTTGTCGTTGGGCGCCATAACATCCAGCATAAAAGATCAATAGGAAACCATACATGTTTGTTTGTTTCCGTTTGTATTACTATCCTCTAAATATCTGATATTACAATAAAAAAAAACCATAAATACTATAATTACATCACTTTTGTAAAGTAAAGTATTTATGTTGTGTTTGGATTTCAAAGCATAACCTAATGTTACTTTGGTTTAATTGTGTTCTCTGTGCCTATATATTTTTTTTCTGTTATAGGAACATATTTCAGAAATTATTGTTCTATACCTATACAAACACTTTTAGGGAAAGCGGTCAGAAAACATATCCAAGGCCTAGAAGAACCATGTAACAACAAATCAGGCCTTTGGCGTAGACGATATACAAGACGGTATAAAAAAGACTTGTAATCAACACCAAAAGCAAATATATTTGTCTCAATAGTTAATTAAGAAAAAGGTAGGGTTAAGACACCATAAATCTTTATTATCCTAAAATAATAACAGTGATCGTCAATATTCCGGGATGACCTTGTCTAAGGAATTTTCTCCCCCTAACGACCTTTCGCAAGAAATCTGGAAGGAAATTGTATACTTTAATAGGGCATCCGCTAATGGTGGTGAAATATAAGACAAGTGATGGTCGTTTCTATGTAATGATACGGTTTGGGGTAACAATGAATGGCCAGTGCCGTGTGCAGAATATGAGGGAGTTGTCGAGTTAGTCTACAGAGAAAATAGAAAACTCATTGTATCATGTATGGGGTTGAATGGCTTGATGTTAAATCTGATAATGTCAGTGTCCATCTCAAACATTTTCTCCTCTGTAAGATCGTTTCCAGACTACGTCAGATTCGAATTCGTGAAAATATAGTCCTTGATAGTTGTGTGAACCATTTCTATAGTCGTTTACTATACATATATAACATGTACATCCGTCATTTGAAATATTAAACGAATATTCGAATTGTGTTCGAGTTATTTTGATTTCCTAATTTAAAATCTCTCAATCGATCCAGGTTTTTATTTAAGATAGAAACTTTAACAAACAATGTCCCGCGCTAGGAATTTCTCCTGTGTTGTGGGTGCATTTACAAACATACAATTTCACACACATATCAATTTCGATACGATTTGAAAAGACACGTTGCGCGGCAACCATTTGCCCAGCCACCACGCCAACCGTGCAGTCAACTAATAACGTAGCTGTTAGAACTAAGTACTTACTGGTTTCTTTATGAAAAATAGCTATTATACAGTACGGCCGACGTATCTTGGCGAGTCTGAAGTTAGCCGTTTGTCTGCGCAATGGACCTTTTATGAACAAAATTGTGTACTGCGCAGGTAATCGGCTAACTTCAGAGTCGCCAAGATACGTTGGCGGTATTGTACGTTACGTACAGTAATAAGTAATATGGAGATCATCATAGGTAGATATGAGGACAATGTGCCTATGAACAAACCAACTATCAATTAGTGATGGATGAAAATGAAGTTAGGCACACACCTCGAGCTCTACGTTACGCCAGCCTGTTATTTTCAAATCCTATTCCATCCTTGCTCTCTTTCACATTTATGTCCTGTAGTATTAATATAGGTTGTATTTCGTTAAAATTTATCTCGCTTTTTTACAGAATTATTGTTAATTTCAATTATATTTTTTAGAAACTCGATGATGATGAATACGAATTACATAAGGAATGAATACGTTACGTAGCTGTGTTTATAAATAAATATGTATGTCAGAATATGTTGAAAAGAAATTTGTATTCGGTCGACTAAAGTTTCCAATTAGGACAAAAATTAATGTTATTTAATTATTTATTAAAATTTGATATTTGTTCATTCCCCAAAATCAACGAAATAAAACTAATATTAGCAAACATTTGCGAACGGAAGGATTTTTGGAAAAATATAAAATATTGTCTATCTCAGCACAGCCATAAGATATAGTATGAAGAAAGTTACCTACAATTACATTTTCCAAAATGCATTTATGTTTATTTACGTGAATATATTAGCACACATTGATAAACATTATCTAAGAATATAGTGTGAAACAAACCATTGTTTATGAATTCTAGTAAGATACATGCAGACTCAAAAATAATACAAAGTTAACTCGTATATTTCTGTAATGTTATTCATGTTCATTCCTTTAATCGGTGAGGATTGGAAACTAAATAAACACAGCCGTATATTACATCTGTCGTTTCGAGAATTCATGTTGTACAGGTGTGATTCTTAATGTTAGGTAAGAGCAGTCAAACTTTCTATCGAAATGCTTGAAAATAAAGACATTTAGGTACAATTTCCTTTGAGGTTATAAACTTAGTTTTTAGGATAATATGCTTTAATTGGTTGACAACTTTGATGTACCAAATCAATCAGTTATAAAGTCTGAAATCATCAATTCACATCAAGAAGTCATTCCTATTCTCCTACATAAAGAGCAATGTTAAAAAACACAGGATAATATTATAACAAAGAGCGATTCGATTTAAGAACTGTCGGTCAGTATACGCGTGGAGTATGGGGTCAGTGTTGCAATCATGATGGTCCATATAATACGAAAGTATTGCTATAACTGTCGTTGTTATTCGTCAGTTAGCCTTCACAAAGAAGCTGGACGGATAACATTAGTTTTGTATAGGTACAGAGTACCTCAGACGGAGTTCGTATCTAAGACATGATCTCAATGTCTCGGCGACAATGCTCAGGAAATGGTTCATCGTGTTATCTAGCAGGAAGAGCGCGCTTTGTAGGAGGAGCGCATTGTCCAGTCATCGGCTCACTGCGGAGTGCGTGGACGCAACTATACTCACGGCTCTGTCTTGATCACGGGTGACTGTGACTGTAATGTCTTATTGTTTTATAACACTATAATGACCATCCCAATCGTTCGTCTTCATTAATTTCTCTTGCTCTTTGATGTCCACTTATAAATTAGAGTAATGCAATACAACTAACACGTTCGTTACCTACGTAATAAGCACCATTACAACCTTTCAACCCAAATATTTTGCTCCCGGACTTTCACCCCTGTATAACGTGTGAGGGGCGACAGACTGGCGCCAGCAAGTCTACATGGCGGCCAAGCTACCTCATCTCCCGAGCTGCGTCAGTCGCGCGTCGGGACCCGCCCTCTACGCTTTGCCATGGATATAATCCACACTGTTTTTGTTTACGTATTTATTGTTAATGTTTGTGTTGTCGCAAGAGGCGGACATGGGGGGCATGGAGGATCTCATGGATCACATGGTCACTCGTCATACCACGGCTCGCACGGTCATCATGTGACCGCGAGTCACACGCACTACACGTATCATCCACCTAGACACGTAATGTATACATGTCGTCACTGCGCATCGACGGAGATGTATCCTGTGTACAGGCCCATGCCACCGACGTATGTGTATGTGTACAAAGAATCCGGCAGCAGGTACGCAGATATACTCACTGGTTTGTCATTGTACAACTTAGGACGTTCCACCAGCATGGGCTGGGCTCGTTCGCACGAATACTACGCTCAACCAGGAGAAAGGTGTTCTCTACAAATCATCGAAAGGTTGCATTTTGAAGAGACAGAGTTTCCATGTTTTATGATATCTTCGTTCATAGAATCAACGGCTCCTAAAGCAAATGATACCCGCCAGGTAGATATATCATCGTCGAAGATTGACGTGAAGCCATTTTTGAAGGACATGGGGCCGGCGTTACAAGTGACAAATGATCAAAAGTGCGTGTTATGGCATAATTTAACGATGCATAAAGAGAGAAACCATGTTCCTTGTGCGTTGTTGAAGGAATACGCGAACACTGTGAGGCAGTCTGGTGTCCCCACATATATTTGGCTGCCTACGCTGTTAGGAACTATCATTGCTATATACCTGTGCTGTGCGTGTTTTTGTAGGAAGAAAGAGAAGGAAACTGTGAAGGAAGAAGCTCCACTTAATGAACTGCGTGTTCAGGGGTATTGTTCCAATTATTGACGTGGTGTGGTTCTACTAATTGATGTTTATCAACTGCTTCTTACGGCCTGCTATGTTTGTATCTAACGAATGTGATATGTCAATGTATCTTTCTATTGTACGTGGTAGTACATATAAATAGTTACGAATGTTATTTAGACAAGTACGTATGTTTTTTAGAAGTACATATTCCTGTAGTATATCAAGTAGAGTTAACGTATGGCTCCATATCGCGCATAGCACCTATCACTTAAACGTGTTTTTGTACTTATAAATAAATACTAGTTCCTTATTGTGTGTAACTCAGTGAATAATCCTGCCAAGTGCCTGTCTTATGATTAATTTAAGAGCATGTAAATTACTGATTGTGTTGTTTTTTAACATCCAATAAATGATAAACAAATTTAGGGCTTTTTACTAATTTATTATAACCACATATCTATTTTAACTACATAACAATGGTCATGTTATTTTCCATTAAGTAATAGCTTTCCTAAATATTACCTACGTACTTAAATGAGATATTTTTTCAATAACACGTTACAATGTAAAGTGACATAAAGAAAAACATGCAAAATAAGAAACTAAAAAAACATGGAATATTAGATATAAATATTTAAATACACGAATAATAAAACTTGTTACTAAATCTATGTGCATAAAAATGAATACTCATTTCTCTTAGTCACGGCTATATGGCTACCCAGAGCGAGCTGGAGCGAGATCTTAGTGAATAGATATATGCCAAAGAGAATTAAACAGAATGTTAAGAACTAAAGCTCTATTGATTTTATACGGTTATTATTTCCTCAACACGTTACAAAGGGATCAGAAGTCAAAGAAAATTCATTAGCTGCGTGTCAATCTAAGCGTAAAACTGCTGGTAAATTGATTCCTTTGTTAGTTACGAATAATAAAATTTTCAGGAAGCTGCAAATGTATAAACTCTTCTTTTAGTTGTAACTTGTGTTCTTATTGTTATTACCGATTACACAATGTCAACACGCCTAAAATTCCTATGTTAAGTAAATATAACAATGATTATACATATATTAGCAGTGAGTCACTTGTGAGAGGAGGTAAGGTATGGTAAGCATATAATAAAGCCGGAAAAAAATACCCGCAATTTCAGACAGTAGTTTTAACTATACACTATTGCAGATAGTTTTTTTTAAAATAATTAATTATTATCTACATTCCTTGATCTTGGTGTCGAAGCAGTAAATAGGTACTTGTTCAAAAACCAATAATTTCAATAAAGTGTACTGCTCGGTTGCCGTCCTACTATTTCTGCGACTTATTGTTCTGATCATACTCAAAATAAAATAAAATGTTAACTTTAACGCCATCTAGTGGGAAAATGGCCACGGGCAGCCCAGTATAAGAAACCTTAAAATACTTTTTTTTAATGGTAGTTAATATTCTACTGGCTTTTTACGCTCTGGGAGGTCTAGAAGGAGTGTCAAACTATTACTGACTAAAAACCACCTCGTCATTTCTCATTATCTGTGCCGGTGTCGTGGTACATTATCGCTCTTGCACCCGCAACCCCGCTTAACTACTATCATATTTGACGTCGTTATACATAGATGCAATTTAATCTATACTTACCATTGAGATGGAAATTTTCTCGATGATACTAATAATAAATGTTTTAGTGTGGGTTAGTGTGTTTGTTTGAACGCGCTAATCGCCAAAACTACTGGACTGGTTCGAATTGAATAATTCATTTTGTGGTTGTTAGTACATCTATCGAGGTAGGCTTTAGGCTACCACCACATAAAACATCACTAGGTATTTGGCACTATATAAAACATAACGCTACGATGTGAAGATGCCGAGCAGCGAGTGAAACCGCGCGACAGAAGCTAGTGTTTGGATAATCAGCAGGTAAATCCTACTTAGCTGAGAAGTAAAGTAAAAATATTCTATAAATTATAACCGATCGATAGTTTATTATTGTAAATAAACTTCAAATTTATAACATCCCAGCGTATTTGAATAAAATAAATAATTAAATAAGATTAATGCATAAACTATTCGATGTATGTAATTATAATAGATCGTAATTTTCATTGTTTGAAATACTTTGGGCGCTTTATGTACCTAATTAGAATCTGAAAATCATGACTAATGTTCATATTTTTTTTTCTATATTAATGTTTTATTTATTTTTTAACAGCGATGATTGGTCCAGTATCAAAAGAAAATGACAATGCTATAACTTATCCTAAGCGATTCATCAAACGACTTCTTTCGCTCGTCCAGGGTGAGGAGAGAGGCAGTGTCAGAATCTTACCGTCTAAAAAAACCCCGTTCCATCTTCTGCTGTAGACCGAGGCTTATTGCGCTTGTCCCGCAACCCTTGTTGTAGGCTGACTGTCCAAAGAGATGGGATGCCGATGATGATTGTTGTGAATAATAAGAGAATCATACATACTCTGTGGTAAGTAGGTAGCTAACTTACAATGTTTTTCTTCAAAATAAACAAATAGTTTCATTACATCCGGTGCCATACAAATTAGGCCGCTGCTGTTGTTTATTTTTATAAAGTTTTAACTAATCTTTGTACAATCTGTTAAAAATATCCGAGCATATTTTATTGATAAATCAGTAGCTGTAAAACTGAAATATTTCTAGGCATATGTCGGTGTCGAATGAAGGTTCATGTTTCATAAAAATAACAAGTAACCTGAGATCGTATGATTTAGTGCGCGTTATAGGATTTCCCTTGATATTTTAAGTTTTTTCAACACGAAATTGGGTCATGTAATTATGTGTTTTAGCCTTTAGGTAATCTTATCAAAAATGTTATTAATAAAATTGTTTTCATGTCTAAACTAGCAGCATACGTGACTAAGTTATGTACCTATCCCACGGGAATGATGTATTTTTTCTAAGATCCAAAAAGAGCTGAAATTGAGAAACCCGCTTCTTTTGGAAGTCGTTTAGTAAGATGTCTAGACGAGTAATTAATGTATTCATTCGATACTTAATATATTTATTAAGTCTTCTTCTACGTGAACGTAAATTTATCGAGCCATTGTTTTGACTGTACTTATAAATAAATCGGTAGGAGATTCAGCGAAAATCTGCTTCCTTGATATATCACGAGCAGTTGTTACCTACTTACATTTCTAGATAAACGATTTTTAAAACAAATGCCGTTTCTTAGAACTGCGTATTGTAAGAAATACAAGAATGATGTGAATTGACGGATATAATGAATCCATATTTTCGGGCGTAACGCATCAAGGTTCAGACGGACACCTAATGGTGAATTACAAGAGTGATGCCGATCTGTTGGAGGTTGTTAGAAATTTCAGGATTGGTGTCTTGGGGATTGCTTAGCGTTGTTTTTTTTGCCGGTTTTCGTTGAGGCAATCGAGGACACCCATTCGTGTCCAATCCTGTTTATACTTTTCTGACACAATTTTATGAATAACAAAAGAAATATGTACCTAGCTTTACTTTTAATAATTATGCCAATGGAGATAATTCAGAAACCGACAAAAATCAATAAACATTCCGTATTTACCTACGATAATTTTTGAATTATCTATTTAAAAATCTTCGGTTTACTACTTATCTAAACAGTGGTTAAAAATGCGATCTATATAATCGCACGTAACAAAAAAGTATTAGGTAAGATTCATTGAACCGGATGCAATGGAAGAAATAAATAAATCCGCACACGAGTCGATATTGTAAACATATTGAATCCATTTTGTTTTGACATTACATTCCGTTGCGCGCGGGTAAATTCAATGGCGGGAAATTAAATTTAAGCATAGACAATAGTTGTGTGGTGTGAAGGATTGAAAAAAATATCTGTATTTGTGTTTTTAATAAGGTTATCTTTCATATTGGGTGAAATAAGTTATATTAATTAGAAAATACTGCTTATAAAGAAAAATATACGAATGGATTATGAACACAGAATAAAGTGAAAGAAACCGAATTATTTGTGGTCCTATAATATAATTGACGACAAGTTACGATTTTCTTCGAATGTAATAAGTTTTCTTTTGTTCCAAGGGTCTCGTATCCCCGCTACTAATTTAATTAAGACTTACACAGGTGTACCTTACGCATAAGAATCACATAATTGAATTAATATCCTCTAGTTTTTCTCAATAGTTGTACGTATGTTTATTTTTGTATTCCCGTGGCGGCCCTCGCCTACATATTCTATGGAACACTCAGTAAATTTATTGTTCCGACGAAACCATATCCGTTATTTCACACTTGACTTGTTTGAAATTACTCTTAAATCTTTTCAAAGTCGTCTTCTGCTTCCTTGAGTTGCTTACAATTGTGACTGTTTAGAATAAAGTCCTAGATACTCTTCCAATAAATAAGGCTCATGTCACTCGTACCTACTATAAGACTCATTTTGGTTCCAGAAAAGAGTATAATAGACAAATTGACTCTCTCCACTTTGAACGACATTTTTTGACAGAAAATTTTGGAAGTGTCATTCCATTGATATTAACCTTCGAAATCAAACTATTGGTTCACCATAAATTTTCTTGACTTTTTTTTTCTTCATGCGAAAAAGCGATTTTGAGCTAGAATCTCGTCACTGGTTTATAAAATTGGTTTCTTATTATCTGTTATTTATTGATAAACGGATATTAATAAAACGTAAATAAATTAAAGGCCCTTTAATAATAAATTAAGTGGTAATTCCATGTTTTTTACTGAATAATATGTAAGTAAAGAGGAAAATATAAACATTTTGACGAGTCTGTGTATAATTGGGTAGTTTCCTAGGTCAAAAATAAATTAATTCGACGTTTCAATACAATAAAATATTGAAAAATAACTATAGTTTTATTCATCGATCGATCGATACATTTTGTTTTAGATATTTTAAAGCTAATTATTTAGAAATAAGTAAGCTATTTGACGCAAAAATACTATGACGTCATAACTCAGTTTTTCATACAAATTTTATAGAAAAGTATCGTTTTTGACATTTGGATAAAAGTATTAAATTTGACTAGTTGGAAACTACC